CCCCAAAACCCCAAAACCCCAAAACCCCAAAACCCCACAATAATAAATTTAATTGACCTTTAACAAGCGATAACATAAGAAATGGCATCAAGAAATTACTCCAGAATGATCTCCTTCAAGATTGAGTCTGATAAAAATGACTCTGAGTCTAATGTAGATTTTGAGGACCGGTCCCTGTTTAATATAAAGAGGACATTGGAGGACCGTAGGGGTACTGATAATAGCCAACGGTATAGCTTTGCTTTATGTAATTACTCATAGCCTTCTACTCCAACATCAGGATAGCCTTAAGAAGAAGGTTATGCGTAAGAACACAGCTGTACCTTCTAATGGTGAGTATTGTAAAATATCTTAAGCTCTCTTGACAAAGGAAACTCATACCTCTACTACTATAAAATCTAATCTTAGAAATTTATTTAATATCTGATCTAAATTGCTGAAATAGCTTTACTTTCCCCTATCAAAGACAAGAGAAGTGGGAAAGACTTCTCATTTTATCTCCCAAAACTGAAGAAAAAGGCACCAAACTACAGAGAAGTTATCAAGAAGACTAGATTTGAAAATGGTAATGCTTACTTCATCTTCTTAATGCTACAGAAAAATCAGTTTTATCGATATAGTCAGTTCTTTGGAGTTAACATGACATCCTAAATTTACATAAATATAACAAATGTCTAATGTTTCCTACTAAAAACTAGCCTTAACTCTTCATTTAGAGTGGCCAGCAATAGATGCTCCACCTGTGCACTATAATTCCGACGAGAAGCATGACTCATACTGGGAATTGGTCGCTAAAGAAGTGTTGTTTGGGAATAAAAACATGATGAGAATATGTAAGCTCTAAACCTCCAATAGCCACTCAGCTTTCCATCTAGATACATAAATTCCTCCAAGACGATTCACGATATTTATGAGAAAACCGGTCGAATGCCGCTGCAGATCTTAAAAATAGAGGAACACGAAGGTAAATTTGAGTGTAAGCTTTAGAAGAATGTAAGCAGAGCTCAAATAGTATTTTTATCAAATAATTCACAGAAAAATCTAAATCGAATAAGAGCAGGAGAAAGTCTAAATCCCGATCAAATACTCGATCGCTTAAGAAGTACAATCAGGATAATGGTACCATTGCTTGCAATTTTTAGAAACTATTTTTGAAGGTATGAAGTCTATCAAGCAGACCCAATTTGAGGACAGTGATGACGGCTACGATTCTCCCAGTGTAAAATTCAGGGAGGACGATCATACCAATAGCCATGGAATCCATCTAGGTGTCAAGGTAGGGCTAGATAAATTATATAATAGAAAATTAGAGATTTTGAGAAGAGAATTAATAAAGACATCTTGTACAGATACTTGAAATCAAAAGAAACTATAGGGAAGAAACTGAATTTCAGAAAAATTCTTAGTCGAAAGAAATATCTTGAAGAGAAATATGTAATTCCTCTGAATAATTTTAGAATTCTGAAGAGAGATTAGACAAACCGAAGTTACAAAAGACAGAACTTGATCTTCTGGCACTGTCAAATGTATATCAGTATGATTATTTATAGAAAAACAAGAACAAGAGCCAGAGCGAACTCAAGGTAGCAGTCAGGGTAAATCTTTAACTTTTTGTGGATAAAATCTCACTACTCTACAGGCTTGATCAGTGAAAGATAAGATTACATTTAATAAAGAGAGTATGCAGACTCAATTTTTTCTAATCCTCTAGAAGTTTCAAGGCTGGTTGATAATCCTTATGTTACCAAAAATACTAACTTTTTATCAATAAGACCAAGATTTTCAAAAATTCAGAAAATTGAAACTGATCAGTCCAAGAGCAGATTCTTGTTCTCAGGTAAAGATATTACTCGAAGTCTAGTGCCAAGTAGTAGATTGAGTCATAGACACCAGAACAGTTTCAGGTACTCTTCTTTTAACTCTTAGTGAGCTGAACAAGACCAGGTCAGCGACGCCAATGCAGCGATTGACTCAGAAAGGTAGAGTATTTCCTGACTCCACAGACACTCTCGCTAAGAAAGGCAATGCAACAGAAGTTATTATCAAGCATCTCAATAGACGTCAGGCTAAGACTGTATCTAAGAGAAGAGGTTGCAGTCAGTTGAAAATCAGGAAGAATTGTTCTAGTAGAAGCCCTCATCATTTTTACCATCAGAAATAAATACCAGATTCGATAAAACAAGTTGGGGTTTTGGGGTTTTGGGGTTTTGGGGTTTTGGGG